AGGTATGTTTGTGTGACCACACGAATGCCTCCTTATCATAGTGATACATTTTATATCACATCGCTTCAGTTGTTTTAACAACATATGTACTAAAAGGTATTTTGACAACAAATATATATCAGCTGTAGCAGCATCATATGAATTCTGGCATTTTACACATAGTCCACCAGGAGGCGCCAACACAAAAGTCAGAGACTTCACATGAGATTTGGACTATCTTGTGGGGGAAAGCAGATTACTTCCTACTCATGAGCGCCCCCTCTGGTGGGAAAACGTTTTTTCAGGGATACAAACTTTTTCAGAACACCGGTAAATGGCAGCCATTACAGACGAACACGTGTTTGTTGTTATTTGAGGAGCGGCTCGGTCACACACTAATGTCATTAGTTTGTTATCATTACTAAGGTGCAGGACTGCTTTTTTTATTTTATTTTTTCACATCATGTCTCCTGCCTGGATCTGTTATTATCTTGCTCTGAAGCACGGAGGAGTGTCAGAGGTGAGCTCGTTTCAACTGATTTTTATGACACGGTCTCAATTCCGGACTGAATGAAGCCGATATTTCAGTTAAAATACTTAAGTAAAAATATTTATCTGAGTATAACACTACCCCCCCAACTTTTTGGATGATTTTATGGATTTAATTTTACGTATTGTACTTTAATAAATACGGTAGCTTCATATGAGCTGAAGCTGTGCTGAAAGAGGTACAAAAACAGCTTCTTTTAGAAGGAGAAACAAACTAACGTTACTAAAGAGGATCCACAGCTGAATCAACCGTTCTGAAAATAATAATAATATATTTCTGTTACGTTCGAGTTATTAGTTTGTATTTTAGGTTTAAATTATCTTAGAAAACACATTTATATAGAAGAGAAACCATAAATCTGGTAAATGTTTGACTCTTTCACCAGTTTAAGTAGATTATGGGCATTAAAGAACAATGAGGCCAGAGAGGGTAAAACAGGTTTCATTCAGCTCCATTTAGCTGGAAATGGACCAGGAGGATCCCTGCAGGAGCACCTGTGTGTGTTTCTGTGTTTTTACCTCATTAAGTTCTCTCTCGGTGTTGAGGAACTCCGTGACCCCGCCGATGAGTTTTGAATTCATGAACAGAGCTTCACCGTATCTGAACAAKGACAGCGAGAACGTCTCAGTTCAACCATCGGCTCTTAAAACACCTAAAGACCTGAAGTCTGAGTCTCACCGAGCGTTCAGGACGTCCCACTTCTCTCTGAAGTACTTCCAGGCCAGGTTCCGACCCTGAGGGTTTCTGCCCACATGGATGATGACGTCGATCACGTCCTGCTCTGGAACCAGGTCCGTGGTTAGAGACAGGTTCAGTAACCTGGAGAAAAACAAAAACAGGACGAGGTTCAAACTTTAACTTTATTTTCATTTCAATTCAAACCATTGTTATAAACAAACACTAGCATAGTAATATTAAATACTGTTACTACTAGCATTGTGACATTAATGTTAGCATAGTGACCAACGCTGGCATAATTAATTTCATTGCTAACGCAGTGAAATATGCTAGCATCACTTTTAACACCATCACTTATGTTAACATTAGCAAAGTAAAGTTAAAGCTAGCATAGTGACTTATTTAAAAATAATTATAATGCTAGCTTTATGGCAATGTTAACGTTAGCAAAGACAAGTTAAAGCTAGTATAGTGATTCAGTATATTGATATATTTAAGAAGATTATAATGCTAGCTTTATCGCAATGTTAATGTTAGCAAATAAAAATTAAAGCTAGCATAGTGACTTATTTAAGAATAATAATAACGCTAGCTTTATGGCAGTGTTAACATTAGCAAAGTACTATTAAAGTTAGCACAATGACATTAACATAATAACATTAATGTTAGCATAGCAATACATTAGCATAGTATCTCTAGCATTGGCACTGTAAAATTATCATTAGCATAGCAACATTAACATTAGCATATTAGTACTAACTTTAGCATAATAATACCAACATTGACAAAGTAATATTAACGTTAGCATAGTAATACTAACACTAGCACAGTAATACTAAAGTTGGCATAGTAATACTAGCACTGGCACAGTAATACTAATGCTYGCATAGTAATAATAATGCTGGCATAGCAACACTAATACTAGCATAGTAGCACTACTGTTAGCACAGTAACACTAACACTAGCATAGTAACACCATCTTTGGAATAGTAATACTAATGTTAGCATACCACRCTTAACCTTGGCAGAGTAACATTTCCTTTAGCATAGCAACATTAGCTTTAGCATAGTAACATTATTTCTGGCATACTGCGACATTAGCGTCAAAACAGTGATGCCAACATTAGCTTTGAAACACTACTGTTAGCATAGTGCTGCTAACAGTAGCTAACTCTGACAGAAACAGCAGAAGGATGCTAATTTAATAATAAAAACATAAATTATGTCCAACACAAACCAGAGAATGGAAATGTGTTTTGTTCTCTAACACTGAAATTATTTCTAGTTTTAAAACATRAGATTGTAAATATTAATGTTTGTTAACATTAATAAATGAGCAGAGGTTACAGTCTGTTGATAATRACTCTAAAGTTTTATTTTATCTAATCTAAAAATGTTTTTAACAACAAACAAAAAGAGTTTGAAACTTTCCAACCCTGAGCTGTTTGTATGTCTGAGTTCAGGCAGAAAAGGTCAGGATGTTTAACAGAAATGATTTTGTTCTGCTGCTGCCTGTTTGTGTCAAACCAAAAATCACGTCCTGCCAGGACGGTGGCAGGTAGAGTAATCTGATTACTGCGGCTGCAGGTGGTGTTTTCAGAAACACAATAAAGTGTTTTACTGTGGAGAGGCTGAAAAAGTTTAGTCATCAAAAGTAGCTGTTCAGACTTCACTTTGTTCCACTGCAGTGTGTGTGTGTGTGTGTGTGTGTGTGTGTCTGTGTGTGTGCGTGCGCTGCCGTTTCAATAAAACCACCAAATCAATTTTCTCTTTTCCCACAATCCCTCTGTGCTGAAAGCATTTCCTCTGTGGCCAATCGGTGTGTTTCAGAGCTTTAGTTGTTAGTTTTTGTGTGTGTGTGTGTGTGTGTGCGCAGCTGATTGGAGAACAGTTTAGCTGTGGCTCAGAAATCGATGCCTGCACACACACACACACACGTGTAGTGGTCACTGTAGCACCAGCAGATCATCATCAGGTCGGTCCTTCATGTGTGTGTTTTCTTCAGAAAGCCCCTCACAGAGCAGCAGCTCTTTATGTTTGTAACACTGAGCTGAACCACAGCAGAGCACTAAGCCTCCTGTAAATAACAGATAAACTCACTGATTCAAGCAGCTCATTTTCTCTGATCAATGATTCAGGTGAGACGTGCAGCAGCTCACACACGCTTGTTTTAAGACTTTTTATTCATCCACAGGCTTTTCAGCTCAAACCTCATTTTACTTCCTGTTTCCTGTCTGAACCAACAGCTCAGACAAACTGTGACGCTGCACAGCAGAGAAASTTTCTGTGTACAGGTTGAATATTTACAGGATACATCCTGCAGCTGTGCAGTTAGTACTCATGTTCCAGGGTCAGTGCATCTTTTGGTCGTTGGATTTTCATTTTGGAAACGAAAATAAAAAACAAGTAACGAGCGGTTATTTGATATTTGTTTTAAAACACTGAAATAAAAATTAAAATACAACGCGTTTCTCATTCTTAGTGTCGAAAAGGGATAATTTTTTTCAAATGACTTGAGTTTCATTTTCTGTTTCAGATTGCAAAAAAGAAAATAACTTTAAGGCAGAAACAAAAAAAGGCTTGATTGTTATTTTACAATTATTCCCCCACCAGAGGGGGCGCTCACCTGGCAGCTCTGCACAATAAAAGACTAATTTCTGTAAATAAGAGGCTGAAACACAGAGAAATAAGTCCATAAATGAGTTGTGTGATGACTGTCTGTCTGTGACCAAAGGCTGCAGAGATACTTCATGTGGTTTTTGGACAAATAAGTCTCTTTTACTGAATACATGTCGTCTACTGGCTCCACTTCACCTCCATTTCTCCCAATAAAAAACAAAACATGACAACTTTCATTCCATCAGTGTGTTGTACAGTTGTTGTTCTGTGAGCACAAAGGTTTTTACCTCCTGAGTTTTGACTAAATCTGTTGAGTTTTGAC